TTAGGTTTCTCATTGGACTCAATGATTCAGTCTTTTCAATCTAAATGATTTTATTAGTCTCAACTGCCATTCCAAAGTGTCCCACCACGGGCGAGCAGAAAAGACAAAACCTGAACCAAGCTGTGTGCAAAACAGTCTTGAGCCAAATAATTTTGTTTCATTTGTTACCAACAAACAAAGCCTTCTGACTGCTGTTTTGAGCATGATCTGAGTCCTGGCATGGGTTACCTGTGACTACAAACCCTCAGGGCTGTCCCTGTCCCAGCATGGGTTGCCCATAGGCCATGGTCCCTGGGGGCTGTCCTTGCACCAGTGTGGGTTACCTGTGGGCTACAGTATCTTTTTTTTCTGAACTGGCACAGGGTAGTTTGTGTCCTCCTCTCACTACTGAATCACAATACAAAGCTCCCACTGCCCAAACCCTGTCAGCTTTGCCCATTACACCAGACGATCTCCCTTTTTCAGAATCTCCACCTCATTTCCAGAAGTCATTAAGTGGGTATAGGCTGACAGAACTAATTTAGGTTTTTCCCATTCTGAATTTCAACAGATGCTCCCCTTTCTAGTTCTGCCATGAAGCCACACTGAACCTGGTCTAACACTTCATCTCTCCACCCCAAACACTGCAGGCAAGGTTCATAAACGTCATTTCATCCTTGGCACTGTGTAAAGAAGTACTATTCACCCTGAGACATGCTGCCAAAAAAAAACCCCAAAAACCTAGTTCTGATGCTGCTGTGTGCCAACCAAAAACAAAGACAGCGAAAACCAAAGATAGTACTTTATATTCTGAGTTCCTGAAAAGCAGGAACTAGGGAGGAGATAAACTCAGTAAGTCCTCAGATTAATTTCTCTATCCTTTTGCTGTTTCTGAATAAGCATAAAATTAATCAAGGGATATAGCTGACAGGAGAAAATTTTCTTAAGCGTTAGGAAACACCTGAGAAAAGATCTTCACTGGTTTAATTGGTGCTACTTCATCAGCATAAACCTCCAGCACAGAAGATTTTGAACTTTGGATTAGAAACTGAGACTACTAAGAGGAAAATTTCAAGCAAAAGAAAGGACAAAAAGTAGTATTTGAGCAGGAAAGAGTAGCACAAGTTAAAAAAATCAGAAAACATTAATTACATATAGTGTTCCTGCATTTTATTACACAAAAAAAAAATGTATAGAGACATAAATCTCCATAAACTTCATACTTAAACTGTGGTCTATTTGTATTTCCTATCACTTAACGTAAGGAAGTGTAGATGTCTTTCTGGAGAGGATGTCTGAAAACGGACACACAGTCTCAAAGCTATCACTTCAAAATAATAGTCATATAGATGAATTTTGAGCAGAATTTGTGTATTCTAGTGGAGCAGCAACATAAAAGGGAAAGCTCCCTTTCCCTAGTGTTTTTGAGAAATTTTTCATTCCTAACAATAATTAGATTCATATGCAAATTACTCACAAATCATACACAAACCCTAAACCTTTCTTGCTACAATTTAGCTACAGAGCTCCAAAAGTGGAGATGTTCCCTTCCCCCAATTTCAGTGCTATTTTTCAGACCCTTGATGCTGACAGAAATTAATAATTTGCTGAGTGGGAAGGGAGAAAAACTGAAGTCACCTCTACCTGCAAAATAAGCAATAGTGAAGATAGGCCTCCAGGACTCTGACCAGCCTCCAAATTAGGCTGGTCTGCAGGGCCTGCCCAGATGCCCTGATGAAGTCCTCCAAGTCTACCTTTCTTGCCTAGGAGGCACCTGAAGAGGAGATTCTGGATTTAGTCTTTTTAGGACTGTAAAAAGGACATTTCAATGAAAAATGGACCACATAGGGCCTATGGCAGAAAAATTGGATCCTGTCCCCTGCTCTGCCTCAGACCTCCCCTGTAGACTTGCTGATAGCAACTCAAGTGATCTGCCTCTTTCTATTTTGTGAGGTAAGGAGTTGACTACAACCCTTCTGTGTATAATAGCTAGGCACTTTGCCACCCTTAATTTATCCTCATCAACATCCCTGTTGAGCAGAGAATTATTTTCCAAAAGCACAGGAAGGCTTCGTGACCCACAGAAAATCACGTGGCAGATCAAGGAACTGAATCCAGGCACCAGAAAAAGTCACCCACAGCAACAGTCTGGCCTCTGTCCCATTTTTTCCCCCAGACTTTCTTCATCTCTTCTGTTCTGAGTTGTTGCAGGAGTTAAGATGAGAATGCCTGATGGCAGTGGACAGAAAATCCCCTTAATCATCTGAGGAACAAAATCTACTCCCTTGAGAATGTCATAGTTCACAAAAATGCTATATTTTAAAGGGCATTTATCCAAAGAGTTTTATTTAAGTATTTTATTATTTCAAAGCCTTAGAGGAGATTAGGGTAAATTATGGGTTCAAGGATCTTCAAGCAACCTGGAAAGCAGAGGATGAAGGCATACCCAGGAGACAAAACCACTTGAATAGCTTGTTGGCTAGCCAAACCACACTGGAGAATTTGGTTTGTACAGTTAAACAATTTGCACCAACCTCATGTAACTGAGGGATTTAAGAGCAGGAAGGACAAAAAGGCAAGCAACTGCAAGAAAAGATAGCATACAAGAGAGACTAGCAAATGTACTTATAAAAAAAGAGATAGAAAGCATATGACTGATGGAAAATAGTCCATTGCCATCTTTACTAGAGAAGCATAATATGATACAAACCCAAATCCACATTGCTTGCTCACATGTAGCCAAAGGAATCAATAAATACAGCAAAATAGAAATGATGAAACAAGCTAGGGTTGTGGAACTTCTCATGGGACTGGGCAGGCCAAGTCAGTGACACAAGAACCAGGATCATACTGATGCACATCTTAGAGCTGTACTTGCCTGTAAAAATACTCCTTTTTATTAAAATAGGACCTTTTAGAAAGAGAGAAAGATGGTTCTAGATGTACCAGAGGATGACTCACACAGAATACTGGCTCATTTGTTTCTGTTTTTAAGTTCATTTAACAGATATGTTATTGTATAAACATGTGACTCACTGAAAGGCAAGGTTAAAGCAGTATTTCTGCTGAATGCTGGTAGCAACTGGGATTAAGTCAACAAGAGTGGACCAACCTGAGGCAGAACTATTTTGAACAACCAGCAAAAACTGGACAATTATGGTTAAATCCTATTAAAAAGCAAACCACTTTAACAGAGAGGTGGTCCTGCCCCTAATTACACAGAAGCCAGCCTACTCAAGTTTCAGAAAATTGTTTTCAACTACAAATTTGAGTTTCTGCTACAGATTAATAGGCATGACTCTTCAGTTGAAGTTGTTTTAACTTATCTTCTGCTTTACATTTTAATATCATAAAAAAATTTTACCACCTCTACTTTATTTCAGCCTTTCTAAAGCATTATAACTTACAACACCAAATTGCCTGGGGATCTACTACTCTATACTAGGCACTGCTTTAAATTCTCATATAATATTTCTAAGAAAGAATGATGATGGGGCTTTATCCAGAAAATTCTTTATTATTAAATTTAACTCAGTTAACAAAACCAAAGTAACTATAAACTGCATGTATCCACTTGACAGAAAAAAAAATTT